TGAGTCATTCATTCAACTGATTGAGTGTGTTATCATGCTGGTATCTTAAGGACTTTCGTGGACAGCTGACTCATAAAGTTTTTGATATTCTTCATATTCTGTGTGGTGGTCAGATAAGTTTAAATAGATTTGTACCTTTTATGGGCATTTTACCTTTATAAAGACATTTTTCTATAAGTGTGCATTATCTTTTGAGTCAAATTCTTACATTTAATCAGTGAATAAGAATAAGACATTTGGGCTGTTACCAAGCAAATGAAATCAGTATCAACAAAATTCATCTTTGCAATCCAGACATAAGCTGCACCTGAAGTGGCATTTAGATGTATTTACACATTGTTTAATGCAGGACATGAATGCATTTAACCTTCCGTTACAAATGCATAAATAATGTTTTGATATATTAAACATAAAACATTGAATACTGATATTTGAAATAATAAAAAAAAGAAAAGATACTTTAAATGTGAAATTAAAACCGCCAGTAGCTGGCAGCAAGTCACTGTCAATAAGTGAGTCATTGCGACAGAACCGAATCATTTAAACGAGTGATTAATTCGGGAACGAAACAACATCATGTTGCTCAGAGACGCAAAACAGCACTGTGGCTTTGTTTGGAATAATTTTTGTTGGCGAAATAGTGCAAAAACAGGCAATATGGTGTCTAAAACATAAGTCTCTTAATAAAACTTCTAGTTTATTGAACGGTTGTAAAAAATCAATATCACATTTGTATATGGTAATTTTTAGCGAAAAAAAGGCACTCTTCCGTGTGAACTTGAGTATAAATATAAACATTTTCTGCCCCCATGTCTTGAATTTGTGATCATTCTGAATGTATTTTAATAGACTGAATCATGCAGTGATCAGGCAGAGCGCACTGCAAATGCACACGCGCACTAGACTTCACGTAATGCGTGCACTCTGTAGCTGTTTTGAATGTTTGTTTGTTTTTGCATCGTGAGAATATTGAGTAAAATAGCTCACTTGTCATGGTGTTACTTAACTATATCCTGTTATGAATAAACTAAACATTTTGAATTTTTACCTCAGTGTTTCTTCTGCGTTTATGTGTGCGGTCACACTCATTTGTTCTGCAGTCTCGAGACAAACAGAGTGAGCCTCGGCGCGAGCTTGTATTCTGTATTCTGCTAACTTACTGCAATTCTCTCTGATGACGCAGTAACTTGCTGCGGGGAAGAACAAATCTTCGGTCTGTCCAATGATTGTAAAGTCATTAGGTCCGTCAGACTGAAGATATTTAGCGGTAATGAGACCAAAAATAATTAAGACCCATCAAATCCGAATTTAAGACTTTTTAAGGCCTTATATTAGGAAAACGTTATTTAAGACATTTTAAGACTTTTTAAGGACCCGCGGACTAGTTATTCAATTTCACATGAAGAGTGCCGTTTTTCTCCAAAAATTACCATGATTACAAATGTAACATTGAATTCAATAAACAATAAGTTAATTAAGAGACACCATATTGCTTGTTTTTGCTCTATAAATACATCTAAATGCCACTTCAGATGCAGCTTCTGTGTTGATTTAATTTGCTTGGTAACAGCCCAAATGTATTATTATTCTAATTCCCTGATTAAATGTAAGAATTTGACTCAAAAGATAATGGACACTTTTAGAAAAAATGGCTTTATAAAGGTAAAATGCCCATAAAATGCAAAAATCAGTTTAAACTTATTGGAAAAGATTAATTTCTATCAGTATGAACTGACCACCACACAGAATATGAAGAATATTAAAAACATTAGGAGTCGGCTGTCTTCGGCAGTCCAGCACAATAAGACACTCAGCAAAATATCGTCTAATTATCGTTATCGATAAAATCCCAGAAAATATTGAGATATAAGTTTTTGTCAATATCGCACACCCCTAGTGTGTGTATTGTATTGTGTAATGGGTATTGACGTGAATTAATGTTAGACAGTAAACGCTATGGGGTGCACGACAATTTGTGGAAAAAATTCCAACAATAAAGTGACATTTTTATTGAATTGAAATGTTGGCAGAAGGCTGTATAGCAGCTCAATAGGTTTTCTGAAAATTGGAACTCCTTGTAACCTTAAATGTTTTGTCAAAATTAAATATAAAAGCCCTTTACGATATAGCTTACGATAATCTAGGGATGTCTTGTGGGAGCAGTTTGGGTGATGTGACAACTAAGTAACAAATGGATCATGTTGTAACAACACACGCACATATGCACACGCACACACACACACACACCTCCCCCCTCTGTGGTACGGCCTGTGTTCATCATCACACTGACGTTGCTCATCTCGTCCTCAAGGCTGTTCTCATTATTAGGTTGCTAGGCAACTCTTTCATTCTCCAGCAGAGCACACACACTAATCTGAGAGCCTAAATGTAAGCCTGTGATACAGGCAGGAATGGGGGCATACCTCGTTCCGAAGTGAGTCCTGGATCCGGTCGGAGAGTCTAACGTTTCCCCTGGCTTTGGTGCTTTGTCCTTGTTCACATGCTGCAGAACTGAATTGGCTTCAGGGCCATGGGGTCCTTTCATCTCCAGAGGGTCCCCCCACAGCTTTGAGGTTCGTTGTGTTGGGGTTTTCAAGGGTTCTGGTGTAATTGATCCAGGGGGCGGAGGTGGGACAGAGGAGGGCATTCTGAAAGAGCTCACATTCTCCTCAGGCAAAGCGTCCTTGTAAAGTGCATTGCTCTTGATGGCAGGTTTGGGTTTTGGTTTGGACAGGATCTGAGACCTGTCCACCAAAAAGGCTTGTCCATCTGCATAGACGGTGCATGTGTCCAGAGTCTCGCCTCCTTCAGAAGACAAGGTGGAGATGCTGGACACAGTAGAGATGGTGCTGGTGGTCTCCAGTTGGGGGTCACCGCTGCTCCGGCTGTCGACCTCAATACCCGAGTCAGTGATCTGTTCATACGGCTCTAGCGGCCCAGGAGGGAAGCTGGGAGGTGTGCAGTTTGTGAGGACGGTTGGTCTCTTGATTTCGGAATTCCCACCACCTAACGAGGGATAATAGGGAGCAAGAGAAGGCCCTTTTGTACCGTTTGTTTTATGTTTGAACAGTTCAGCTATAGTCCCCGCCTGGTCTTCAGGAATGTCAAAACTGTTGGCAAACTCCAGTGGGGGTGGTAGGGGTTCAGCAAACACAAACTCTTCATCGATGTCGACAGAGGCCAAGGGCGGCAGAGGGATGCCGAAGGGCAGCTTGACGGGCTCATCCACTGAGCTAACAGTTATGATGGTCTTGCCATGTGGAGCAGCTGATAGCGCCTTGGGAGCTGGGGGGTTGGTGGGAGCTGGCTGGTTGGGGTCGCGAAGCTCCCCAGGGGTGTTGTCGGGACTCACTGCCTCGTCCCTGTCGCCCTCTGACAAGCTGTTATCCTCCGATTTTGCCCCATCTGTGGTGTGTACCATCAGCAGACCAGCTGACTTCTGCTGAGAAGTGTCCACAATGTCAATCAGCATGTTCTTCTTCTCCTCAGGCCTCTTCTCAGGCTTGCCCAGATCGAGTTGATACTTGGATTCAGTCTCATATTTGGACTCCGTCATCTGCCTCCGCAGGCCCCCGCGGGGACGGCCCATGGTAGCGGTACTTGAGAAGCCAACCTCCACATTTGGTCTAAGCTTGGTGTCGATAAAAAGCGGTTTATTGAGATCAAGTTTGGATGGGCCACTCTTTAGCGGAAGAGGCTGTGATTGCTCCCTCATGGCTCGGTCTCTGGCAGCTAATGCTAAAGCTAACGGTGAATTGGACTCTAGTGGCTTGCCTGTTACTGGGTGAACGTAATTCCCACTTCCTGAGCTGTAGGTCTTATGAGCAGGCAGACTGATCGGGCTGTGTCCTGTACGGGTGTTCAACAGTTCCCTTACCATGGTGGGCTCGGGGCTGTTGAAGTCCGTCACGTTACCACCACCTCTAGGGATGCTAAGTAGTGATGAGGGAGGTGCCATGAGCCTACGCAGCCGCTCATCGCTGCTAAACATGCCCTCATCAATAGACTTGGAGTGTCGGAGACGTGGGGCTGGTGTAGGCACCACGTCCTCATCACCTGCATCTGTTGACTTAAAAGATGGGGAGTTGCGATGAGCATCAAGCCTCTTCTCCCTGTCTCTAACTGCACCGGCAATGGCAGCTGCAAAGGGACTACCTGGATTTAAGCCATCTTCAGGACGCAGTTGTCCTGGGTGATCCGGTGTGGTCGTCTCAATTTCCATGCTGCTACCTTGACTGCTCTTACCGCTGCTGCTGGTGGAGGGCTCTTTGATTATTATGGTCGGAATCGGGATGGAGCAGGTTTTCTCAGGACTGTCTTCTACGTTGGACTGCTTGACAAGCATTCCCTTCCTTCTGGCTGGCTTGTTGGGCACAAACAGTCCAGCTTGACCCATCTTGCCCACATCCGAGTAAGGGTTTTCAGGAATTTGGGCACGGCGCCTATGAAGACTCTGTTGGGCTGTTGGGCTGTGATTGTACCCCTCGGAATCGTACTGTTCGGGACTGTCTCTGTAATACATGCCCTGATCTCTCCACCCAGCAACTTCACCTCTGTCTGGGGCTGTACTGTTTGCATTAGGACTCTGTGACGTAAAGCCTGGTCTGATGGTGCCATATCCTCGACCAGCTGGGACAGGAGCATTATTATTAGGTGGAGATGGAGGGGAGATGGCTGGTGGTGGTGGAATATCTTCTGATGTGTCAGGCATTGAAAGGCTTCTTGTAAATTTCAACATTGGAGGAGTAAGGAACTGCTTCTCTTCTTCGGTTACTCCTGTAAAGGAATGAAGAAAGAAAAATCAACAAATCAGCAAGCCTGTGGGTGCAATCACCACCCGGAAACAATAAATATAATGCCACAAAGCAAATGATACATCTTGAAAGTACGTCACATCAGTGAAAAAGCCTCCAGCTAGAGTGGGCTGACCAGTGAGTGTTAGTAAACAAAAGTATTTGTATAATTTTACAAAGAGCTGAAAGACTTTTGCATGCAATTCATCAAAATAAAGGACTGTGTGAAGATGTACTTCAGTGACAAAACAAAATGAAACAACCACGCACCTATAGATGTTTGCCGCCTTATGGTTCCCTTTGGTACACCCAGAAAGGGGCCTCTAGGACTCCCTGGCTGTTGCGGCGAGTCTACTGCTGTATCCTGACTATTGCAGAGAGACTGCAAAAGACAGAATAAGGCTGACATGATAATAAGAACAAGCAGAATGCAGCACTTTTGCAGTGTCCAGTCAAACCAAGCATCACAAAATATGTTGAAATGATTTCATAAAAAGAGACTGAGATGAAGAAATAAAAAATAATCTCAAGCAGTGAAGCATACTCACAATCCTGTGCATAACTTCACTCTAATTTAAAGCAGCAGTTCGTAACTTTTTTTGTGTTCAAAATTTACAAAATGTATATAATTAATATATTTAAATGTATATAATAAGCGTGTACACCATTTTCCAAACCATGTTTTTGGCTTGTCCTGAATCACTACGGTACACCTATAATAAGTGTTTATATTCGGACTATTTAGACTGGTTCGGGTAGGTACCGCTGTGGAGTAACCCAGTACCTGCATGATTCGCCATAGACATAAACAGAGAGAAGTAGCTCCGGATACAATGTTCTTCCAAAAGACGCACACAGTTCTGTTTATTAACCGCTAGAGTGCCAAAAGATACGGACTACAGCTTTAAGCATCAAAAACCAATATAGCATGCATGGCCAATGGTTGTACCAGACTTGCGAAAAGCGATTATTGCAGTTAGTTATAGTAATTTTCTACAATGACACGGGAGACCAGAACTCTTGAGGGCATGAGACAAGGCATGCTTACATTCATTTCTGGGCTGACAGCAAAACACTTGCTAGTTGGACGTGATTTGACTGCCGCCACCCTCACATCTGCATTTGAGTTGTCCCACATGGGTTTCTGGGGGGGCACGACCTCATCCACTTTATCTGTAAGACAACAGCATCTCAAATTAGAAAGAAGGAAGTTACATTTAATATAAGCTCAGTATCAAATATTGCTAATTTCCTCTAACAGTATCCTCAGAGCAAGGATCCAAACCGAGCAAGAGAGGCGACAGAAATAGGTACAACGACAATGGTCAAGGTCAAAGCCGTGCAAGCGCTTCCTGGTTCCGTTGGAGAAATCTTAGCACTTCTTTCAACGGCCACTGCGCAACATGCTAGCATTTTTTTAGACAGTTCCCATGCATGGGATGATTACTTAGTGTGACTTGAAATACAATCCTCTTCTTCAGACCCTCATTATCTGAAAGCTGATCATCTATACAGAAATGAAGGAAAGGGAAATTCAGAGTCTGATTTTCCTAGCATAAAAGTCATCAAGACTAAATCTCACAAGTCACACACACACACACACACACACACACAAAACCCCCATACATCTGGCATTAAAATGTGCTTCATATCTGGATATTCTTCAGCTGGACTTAAAGGTGCAGTAGGAGATCTCGGAAAATGCTAACTTTAGCCTGATAGCGCTGAAAGCGAACGTCCCACCCTCCCTGCAATCGCTGTCCAAAGCCACGCCCCCTGAACGCACATATGCTCACAGACCAGAATACCAGAGACAACATTACTACAACAGGCTACAGCGGCTCCCAATTCCATCCCCTTGCGAGGACTGGAATTGGGAACCACGTTGGGCTACATCATGTGTTATTCACCGGTGAGAAAACTTTATAGTACAGTTAGTAAAAGTATTACAATACCAGGAAGGAAGATCGGGTTGTTGATGTTTGTCTGCCATTCTCGCTCTGTCTGCACAGCGTGCGTGAACGCGCTGATGACGTATCCTGTCTGTGCGAACAGGGTGCGCAGAGGTATGCAAATACATATGTTGACAGGCAGGTAGGAAAGTCAATTAAAACGCTCGGACCGAGGGTTTTGATTGGACAAACATTTTCTGGTCCTACGCCTTCCACAGAATGTATAAATACAGATAAATACATTTAGACCACTTAACTTAATAATTGCTATCGGGATGTGAAGAGACTTTCAACCAGCATAACAAAAAAAATTTCTGAAGACAATCACCTATTGCACCTTTAATTTATACTTTATACTGTTCTTTGCGATCACACTTTCATTACTTTCGAAACATTTCCACAATAAAAGATGTTAATAAGTTTTAAAAGAGAAAAGAAGAAAATAAAGTTTAAAACTCATTAAAATGAGTGATCAAAGTGCACAATCAATATTTGTTGTGTTGGATAATGATTGTACTACTATCTTAATTATGCATTTTTATGTAGACAATACAATTTGCATTATCTTTTATACCTTTACCAAAAGTACTCAGAATTTGTCTCTGGCCACCTCAGTACGTGGTTTCAGCGATCTGATCAAAATACATTTATATTGTCAAGTGCTGATCATCTGAATGTGATCTGGAAACGCATGTTAATGACAGGACTAAAAGGGGCCACAGTTATACCTCTTCATTCATTACATTTATATATACACTCAGGCTTTAAATATAAAATCCCATCATACCCCTGAGGCAAAACTGAATATAAAAAGAAAATATGCTGCCAAAATTGCCTATTCAGGAGTCTAGTTTATATTCATAACTGAAAGCCTATCTAAGACTGCAGAAGGAGTATGCATCTATTTTATAATCAGGGTCTCCTTTATAATACCTAAATATGGATTTAAAATGACTCTTTTTAATGAACACAGTATGTACAAAGCTGTTTTAAGGACACAGCAGGAGTACTATGCAGCCAGCCACATTATGTTAACATAAAACTAATGCTTACAACGGTTCAGAAAATATCTCCTTCAAGAAGACAAAAGGAGTCCATTCAGCAGTCTAAAGATGTCATATCATATCTCTGCAACAGTCACACGTCGTCATACTCCTGGTCAATGCTAACAGTGGCAATAGCTTTACACTGAAAATATGGCATTACATTTTGCAGGTGGAATGTTTCTATATTAAACATATGCAGCATTATTTCCATGGCAACGTCTTGTTTCAGAGTGATTCAAAGCTGGAGTGGTCCCTCGTATGATAATAGTTTAAACGTAGTTCTTTAAAGGGAGAAATTATCTTAAAATGCTCAGCTTTAGGATTTTATCTTCTCTCTGAGGAGTGAAATGGAGGCAGGATGTGTTATATCAGTAAGAACAAGGACTTGTATCTGAAGCCAGGTTTTTAGCATATGAAATTCATGGCTCTTGTTTTCTCAAGCGTATCCTTTTTATAATCGAGGGCAGGCTGTTGAATAATATATTCTTACATTGCACTTTTGAAGATATAGGGGGTCAATAAGTGAAGCTAAATGCTTATGGAGCATTTTGCAGTGTAAACACATTTGGTCTGTTTTCACAGTAAGCAGTCTTCCATTCAACTGGTAAATTTTGATCATTGGAGAGAATACAAATTATTTGCACATTTCTTTTACTGAATCATATCAAAAAAGTTAAATAGTGTGAGACAAATAATCACTACTGTTGCTAAGCTGAGGTGACAAATATTTAAAGAGTGCTTAGGGAAAACTCACCCTTCTTTTTCCTCAAAGTGGCTTTAACATAAAAGAACAATTCAGCTTTATTCAAGTATTCAAATTCAGAGATAATTTCCAGAAAACACGACGAGGAGAACCAACGTTTGGAATACACTATTCCTCCACATGGCATTGACCTGTGCATAATGTAATGCCATTTTAGACGGAAAGCAACAACAAATTCATGCAGTTAACTTTCCAACACTACACAAAACAAGTAGGTTAGTATCCAATATAACAAAAAAGACAATTAATTTCTTATTACACAATATAAACAAGAATTTAATACGCGCTTAATACTGCTTACCCTTTGTGCCATTGTTTAATTAGTAATAATTAAATCAGCATGACCCATCAAACCCTAGATTTAGCTGTGGTCACCAGAATAAATCTTCCACAATCCAACAAGGATCCGCTCAGGTGAAATGCGTCATGCTTTAATAGTGAATGTGAAAGTAATACTTTAGTTTTTTTTAGTGGGGACTACACAAAAACTGAGACGCAAAAAGGCCAATCACAAATAATCACAAATCTTAATAAATATATATAACAAAGTCACATGCATGCCAGGGGAAACACAACATTACAATTTGTACATACATTTCATTAAAATAATTTTGTAAATAACTGTATCGTACCTTTATCCACTTTTAGGTCAGCATGCAGGAAAATAAAACAACATCAAAGTTCATTTCATAATGAACGGTGGCTGTAGAATAACAACAAAAATTGTCACAGGTTAAAAATGCATTTTTAAGGGCCGTTCAAACAAGACATGTTTTTGTATTTAGCAATAACTAGACAGTTGAACGCGATGGATTTTTAAATTTTGTTTAAATCTTGATGTTGTCTTAAAAAAAACGCAGCTCTCATGGCGTGAGACACCAAAATACAAAGCAATAACTGCCAAGACAAAATGCAAGAACACAACCTGTGTGAACAGTCCTTTATCTTGTAAAAACGTATTAAGTAACACCAGACACTGGATGAGATGTTTCTGCATGCCATGACTGTGCTTACCTAGGTCTTCTAGCTCTGAGGTCATAGATTTTGAACGCATGGACAAGGCTGTGGAGGGAGCCCTCCGTGGTGGCAGGGGCGCTATAGCAACAAACCAAAAAAAAACACACAGCAGGTACAGTAGATGCTTAGCCATAGGCTGTAGCATCCCCATGGGGAGGCATTGTATACAACATTAACTCTTGCCGAGGTTTGTCGATTCTCATTTTAAATAATAAATGAGAGAGAAGAGCTTAAAAACACAAAATTAGTAGTGTTAGTAAAATCAAAAACTACTATTAGCATTATGGAAAAGCAATGGTTAGAATTACATGAAAGGGGTTTTGTTTGCTTCATTTTCAATCATATGATTAACATGTTCCTTCATAGCCCAGGTAGTCAAGAAATACTGAATAAATCAAGACATTTACCTTTCTTTCGAGCCGTGTCATCAGGGTCTAGATTTCGACTGACTGTCACCACTTTGATAATTAAGTGGTTGCCGCCGTGACGAATCATGTTGACCACTTGTTTGTGGCCCACTTTGACGACATTGTCCTGGTTCACCTATAAAAAAAGAGGAACAATTTAGCTTGTTTCAGGCATGCTCAGATGTTCACAAAGCAATAATTAGTCAAATGCACTGATGTGCATAATTCATTTCCTGCTTTTTGCTGTTTAAAAATACAGTGAAATGGTTTGACGTACATTTTTTTGTGTTGATATGGCTGGACATATCAATTGCTCATTAAAAAGCCTTCTGTTTAAGTCACACAGCCAAACCACAGCTATGTTCAGAATTGTCAGCTCAATGCATGCTGCATATTTACTGAAAAGTATATATTTTATGATATAAAATATATAAAAAATAAATGAATCAAAAGTGACCGAAAAGCCCTTTACTCTTTTACAAATTCTATTTCAAATAAATGTTCTTTTGAAATTTCTATTTGTTTCACTTTTTTTTTTACAGAAATATTAAGCAGAACAACTGTTTTCAACATTGATAATAATAAGAAATGTTTCCTGAGTAACAAATCAGCATATTAGAATGATTTATGAAGGATCATGTGACACTGAATGGCTGCTGAAAATTCTGCTTTGCCATCACATAAATATATTACATTTTAAAATACATTAAAATAAAATACAAAACGGATGTTTTAAATTGTACAATTTTATTTCACAGTATTAAAGTTTTTACTGTGTTTCTGATCAAATAAATGCGGCCTTAGTGAGCATAAGAGACAGTGAAAGATTAGTTACTTTTATTGATATTAAGGGAAAGGATACATTTTTATTCTAGAAAGCATTTTTTTGGTACAAAAAATTCTATGTCCCTTAGCAAACAGTTGTCATCAATATTTTTGGTCTTTTTTTTTTAACCAGAAGAAAAGAGCTATACTGTTTAAATGCATATTTAAGTTGATTTCATTAACCTTTAGAAGTACCTTAGCATAAATATGGCCTCAGAGCTACTAACTAAAAGCCCACAAACTACAATTTTGATTTCATAGGGCTTTAACTTCTGTATACTACATCATAGTGGAGTAAATTGATTGTGAGCATTTAGCTACACAACCACAAGCATCAACACCAAAGTTACGAAATCATTATTTTATCCACAGTATGTTTTATAAATTTAACCTTATCAATTTTCTTCATATACACTTAAACGGTCACAATCCTAGTGAGAGCTGTCAGTGTAAAGGCATCAGAGGGCAGTAAATCAAAATGGGGTTTAAATGTTTAAGAGGGACATTCAATCTGCCACTGAGCCATTACTGGTGAGCTAAATCGAATTCAGCTACAGCAGAAACGATTTGCAAGTGGTGATAACCGTTGATATATGTGCAACATTCATCACCAGATATTTTTTCATCATCTCTTTTCAACAAAGGTGTAATTCCAATGACTCCAACCAGACTTAAAACTTACTCTGAGGGAGAAACAATCTGCATTCAACATTTCTTACTTGCTGCATGAAAGTGGAAAACAAACTCCCACAACTATTTGAATAGGTTTTAAAAATTATTTTTGACACGAGTTACCAGCTCACAACTTCAGACCACAGAATGTTTGGAAACAATACTGTATTTTTTAAAGTGCCCCTATTATGGATTTTTGAAAATTACCTTTCATGCAGTGTGTAACACAGCTCTAAGTGAATGAAAACATCCTGCAAAGTTTTAAATTTGAAAGTGCACCGTGTATAAAGTTATTGTCTCTCAAAAAAAAAGAGTCGACTCTAAATCATTGAAACGAGTCTTTTTAAAACGAATCCCAAGCCGTTTCATATTGACGTCAACATGAAACATTACCAGATTGCCTGCCCACTTTTTGGTCTTTTCTTATTGGTCTGAATGAAAATGCAAATTCATTCTTTGCCACTAGGTGCCGCTTTTGGAGCGGTAAAAATAGCGGTTTCGCTATTTTTAGCGGTAACGCTGTACACAAAGCAGCCTGCGCTCACAAACAATGCTTTATCAGGCATTACAGGCATGATGAAATGAAAATGAGACCAATTGGACCAATCACCGCAGATTAGTGTCACGCAAAGGAGGGGTATGGAAAAATTAATCTTCTGGGAGTCGTTGAGCAAGTAAGATAAAAATAAATAAATGCATATTCTAAGACAATGAAAGTGAACTAGTGCTGTCAAACGATATATCGCACCCAAAATAAGTTTTTGTTCACATAATATATGTGTGTGTACTGTGTATAGTTATGTATATATATATAAATGCAAACACATGCATGTATTATGTATTTTTCAAAATATATATTGTATGTGTGTGCTTTTATATATAAATAATAAATATACACAGTACACAAACATATATACAGTAAAATAAAACTTTTATTATGGATGCGATTAATTTAGATTAATTGTTTGACAGCACTAATATGAACCTTTCATTACCCATAATATGAGCACTTTTAATTGTCAGAAGAAAACTTGAACATCGCTTGCTCGTGCAAGACTCACACCAGGATGTTGTGGGTGGATGCAAAGTCATTGCTATGGTGTTCAGAATGGTTGCTAGGGTGTTCTGGGTGGTTGCTAGGTGGTAGATTACTGACCCGAGTCAAAAATTCAGCTGTATGCGTAGAAAAGTAGTATTACACCTAACAATAACATGCCACACGATTTGACATCAAACTCATCCTAAATTATAAGAAACAGTAATAGTGATAGCTGCCTTAGCAAGCAGCGCTAATGACTATGATAAGATGTTGATATTCTCACGATACAAATCGTCAAATAAAAAGCACTGCAGGCAAATTAGAGAGACACCCCTGCTCCTGTGGCATTTCTCAAGCAAAACGATAAACACAGGCACTACGAAACAGATCAGCAGAGAGAAAATGAGAGAGACAGGTTTGGAGAGATTTTAGAGTATGCCTTTTACCGAAGAAAAGGTTACGTGAATAAGCTTGGGTAACCTAGGAAACAGCCGAGGAGCCGAAGTCGTCTTCATGACGAAGAGAGCTGAGCTGCTCCTTTTATTCCTTTGTGTATGTTTGTGTGATTCATAAATGCTGTGAGTGTGATGAGAGCAAGGGACTACGTATGTGATTGTATGAGAGAGATTGCCATTCGTTCCAATTAAATAAAATTAGCTGAAGTTAGAAAGCAAGCCGAAATCAATGTGGGACCAGGCGTGAAAGCCCCACTTGGAAAGCCAGGTTAGTTAAAAAAAGTAACAGCCTTTAACGTCAATCACCGTTACCTTTTCTACATCTCTCGCTATTGTGGATTTTCATACTGTGCATTCCAGAAGACAAAATAACTCTGCATTACATCTTCGAGCTTGACCTTATGACAGATGATGTAAATTTAGAGAGATTGAGAAGGAGAGCGAGAGAGAGAGAAAGCTCTGTGAATCATGAGCTGTAATCGCAACTCATGGCAGTGCAGATTTTTGCAGTGCTCTAGTTTTTGGTGAGTGCTGGAGGAAGGGGGTGGGCACAAATTTCCCAGCATTCTCACTGACCTCCAGTCTCTCGGCATGTCACACACTGGTAATGAGATTTGGGCTCATTTAGGAAGTGCTGGGACCAGATGTAGATAAAGCTCACAAAACAGCACAATCTCAGCATGGCCACTTCATCTTGATAATCTCATTATGCTGGAACCGTGCCAAATCCAACCAAACTGAGCAGTCAGCACAGGATCCTGATTTTGTGTTGTTTTAGATATCAGGACATGGAATAATCAGTCATTCATTACTCACCCTCATGTTGTTCCAAAAATATATACAAATTTTTCCTTAAGATACAAAAGGATAATTTTGAAGAAACATCTTGCAGGTTTGTTAGCAGTGACCTGACCACAGACTAACAAAAGGGATCCTAAGGTGTCATCTCTGACTACTTTAATGATACTTTTATAGTGTTTTTTTGTCCTTGACAGCCTGTGGTCACTATGAGTTATCATTGCAGTTATACAGGTTGAGAGCAACATGAAGGTGAATAAATAATGCAAATTCTGTTATCATTTATTCACCCTCATGTACACTCTTAAAATAAAGGTTCCAAAAGGTTCGCAGGAATCCCATAGAAGATCCATTTTAGGTTCCTCAAATAACTTTTTCATGAAAATAACCACTTTTTCAAAGTGAAATACATTTTAATAATCTACAGAATGTTTGTCACTACAAAGATTATTTTGTGGTTTTAGAAAGGTTCTATGAATGTTTTCAGTGACCATAGATGCCAATCAAGAACTTTGATTTTTTTGTAAAGATTCAAACCTGACTTTTTTTTCTGTGGAAAACAAAAGTAGAAATTTTGAAAATGGTTCATCTGAGCAGGTGAAGAACGCTTAGCTACCTTAAAAAAAAACAAAGCAAAAATTTTTTTATTTGAGATGCATATACTGTATAATGATGTGTTTTTAAACTATATTATTAAACTGACAAATCAGAGTGGATTTACAAACAGAGTAACACAATTTGTACAAAAACACTTAACATAAAAAATTCATAAAGGAGTAATGAATCATTATCAGCTGTAACCTTTAAGACCAATTTGGTTAAGTATCATAAGCATGCTTATGGATAACACAACAGGTGGAGTGAGATAAATATACATAAAACTGGAAAATTAGTAACAGATGGATAAACACTTTGAACTGTCCAAATTGCTGAAGGAACTGAGTGAACTCATTGTCACCATATGTAATTTTGCCAATTAAAGGAGCAGAGAAAAAGTAGACATTCATTTATAAACTTAATTGTTTATATTAGTCATAGTTACATGTGTAAACATATTTATTCTATACAGGATATGCTTTTATTATGAAGGAACGTACCTGTGTATATTCTTTAAAATATCTATTTTGTATTACATGGGGGGGAAAATACAGTTTATTCATTTTCAGGTGAACTATTCCATTAAGAGTTAACCACGTTGATCTGAGTCTCTGTGTGTCCCAAAACCGAAATCAGGTTAAAGACAGCTTTGGATGCAAAACTGGATTTTAGGAGGTTGTTGTACATACATCTAAACACACCAAAAAGCGATTTGCAAGGTTGCTAGGGTGTTCTGGGTGGTTGCTAGGT